AAAATATGTTACGAATCGAGACTGGTGTAATCGTAAAATAAAACTAAATTATTCTTTTTGTAATGTTTCGGGACAAAAAACGAGAGCCGAAACCATCAATATAATTATTAAAATTAAGTTGAATCAAGGTGTTGGTTCCTGTTTCATCCTCAAGCGAAAATTTAGGAAAAAGCTATCTTGTGGTTTGCGCGTGTTTATAAGTATGGTCCATTGAAACATTAATTACCATGGAAACGGCTATGTCGGCCATTTTGGTTAGGTGGTCAGATTGTTAATTCTTATCTACAGATTCGTCACCTTCGGAAAGGTTATGCCAAAGTAGAGTGGGGTATCTATTTCAAAGCTAATGGTGGCGGTCACCGTCTAGTTAGTTTACAGCGGAAGAAATTTCATGGCGCGGCGGCAGGTCGTTAAGTGCCGAGAGGATTTTGTTTTATTATTATCTGTCTGTTAATCTCTTTATTTATTTGTTTAATGGCTGTTCCGTATAGAAACGAGTTGTACTGAAATAAAATTTGTTTTTTAACGACTTCACCAGGGTTTTTTTCTATTTCAAGATTTGGCTTAACTTTTAAGACTTTTATTAAACTATGGAATTTATTTATCTATTTTTTATGCTAATCATTTAATGCGAAAATTTGTTGATGTCGGCAAAAAACCGTTAATTCCTGCCTATGGTTTAATAACTTTTCATTATTTAGAAACTTAATGATGTGTAGTTTTTCGTGTAGTCATAAAGGGCATGGGTCATCCCAGGTTTTACAAGTTCTTGTTCTATTTACTATTTTCCATTTTACTTTTGGTGTTTTATTCGTTTCTTTTAGATGCCAGAAATATTGGGATAGGGATGTCTGATTTCTATTTTGAATATTGTTGAAGGATCTCTTGTGTTGCCTCCATCTAATATTAAAATCATTCTTCGTTGACCCAATGTATATGTTAGGACTCTCAATGGATGAGATAGTGCACTGGTATACCACGGATTTTGTGAGGCATTTATTTTCCAACGGGCAGTCTTTAGGGTTTCTACAATCACATAATTTTTCGTTATTTTTATCTAATTTTAGTTTGAGTTTTATTACTGTTTTGGCATGCGTGTTTTTCTAGGATTTTCTTATGTCTTTTTATGATTCTTTTGCGATTTTCAGTGCAGCTGTAACTTAATTTTAAGGTGTTTTTATTAAAGATCTCGCTAAGTTTGCTATTAGTGGGAAAGTGTTTTTCAATTAGAGCTAGGAATTTCTGTCCTAGTTTGGTACTGACCATTTGGTTGTACGGAGGGGTATACCAGATGATCTTTCTTTTCCTATTATTATTGGTACTTATGTCAGCGTTTCTGTATCCGCTATTTTTCAGGGCTGTGTTATAAAAATTACTGTGTTGTCAGAATATTTCCCTATTAGCTGAGTTCATGCTAATTCTTTTCTCTATTGATGTGGGTATATGCTTAATTAAGAAAATCGTTTAAAAATTTCCTTATTTTTTTTTTTACACAACTTTTTGAGGGTTAGTTTTAAGTTGATATAAGGTGATAGGGAGAGGGGTTGGAGAGCAATATGATCGAAATATAAGGTGATAGAGAGAGGAAAACGAGCAATATGATCGAAATTATAGAGGGAAGGAAGAGTTAGGAATATTTTTAAATCTGCCGTTATTAAAATAGTTAAGTGTAAGGGTGGTAGGTTAAGGAGCCAGACATTTTGACCTATTTAACAAGTCCTTTTACAGGAAAAGGAAAGACAAAAAAAAAAAAAAGTTGACATAAGACAATAGAAAACAAATGGAGAAGCAAAGGTAGGGATATATATTTCGATAATTGTAGTTTTGAATCTGCTAATGTAACCAAAGAACCGTTTTTGATGTTGGCTTAAAATATTATATTTTTTTATTCCTATTTTGCGATGATTAAGATTATAAAGATGGTGGAAAATCGTGGAACAAAATTTTCTTTTTCCGACTATCTTCATTTCCCCTTACCCATATAAGTCCTGGGTATGACGATTAACTACATCCAGCAGCAAGGCATCTGGCCGGAAGACAGGACGTATTGAGGAGCGTGGAACTACCTCTTAATTACGTTTGTTCCTCGGCCCACCCTGACCCAGAGTGGTAGCACCTGTTAGCATTTCAGCCATGGGCAAATAGTGAACCTCCCAAGCAAAAACATTATGGAATATAAAAATAAATTTTTATAGTAAAAAAAAAAAAAAAATACCGGCAATATATTTTTATATAAAAAAAAAATTACAAAATGTATTGTTATAGTAAAATTACAAACAAATTATTTTATCTGTAGTTGAAGGCATACGATTGCGTTTAAAATATTCAGATTCCGGCATTAAATAACCCATAGAGATGTTGATATGCCATCAAACAATGAAGACGAATTTTGATGAAGGAATACTTTGATGAGAAGCAGATAAGTGTTATGACATGGCCGCCCCAATCTCCTGACCTCAACCCCATAAAAAACTTATGGAGCATTATAAAGTACAGGCTTTCGAGAAAGCAGTTGAGCAACAAAGAGGATTTGATTGTGAATTTCATATCCGAATGGAATTCAATGCTTGGAGATGAGATTTGCCAGAACCTAATCAAGTCAATGCTAAAAAGGGTTGAAAAGGTTATTCAAAATAAAGGAGGACCTATAAATTATTAAATATTTCGAACTATATTACCTATATTATAAATAAATTATACCTCTATTATTCTTTATTTAAAGCTGTTTGGTTATGTTTCTATTGATTACTAGTTGCAAGAAATAAGTGAGTCACTTTTTTTGCACAGTTTTTCCCTAATTCTCATTTATAACCAAAATTATAATTATCAATAGAATACCTTAGGGTGAGTAAATTTTTATACCAGCTGGTCGGGAAGGGGTCTTTATATTAGTAAGATTAAAAATTAGTTTGACACCAAAAACAATAGGCGAAAAAATTAAGTATAAAAATCAGGTGAGTCACTTTTATCGAACAGCACTATATATATATATATATATATATATATATTATAAATCCGACAAAAATTTTAAATTATTTTTATATTTAACATTCTTTTTATAGATACAAATATTTAAGTAAATGCCCTGTTTATAATAAACAGTATTAAATAACTTAAATAACATTTGCCTGAATGTCCGAGAAATTTTCATAGAAAATATTCGTCCTCCGACAGCATTCGAACCTGTATCCTATACGGAACTGTCATATAGCCTGACGTGCCTTTAACCGATTTCGCCACAGAGGATCGAATTTACTGCTTTTAAACTTCAATCATCCATGAATCCCTCACGTACATTCATGTCTATGAAAATTTCTCGGACATTCAGGCCAGTAAATGTTATTTAATACTGTTTATTATAAAGAGAGCATTTACTTAAATACTTGTATCTATAAAAAGAATGTAAACATAAAATGTCTTAAAATAATTGTCGGAACATAAAACGTCATTTATTTACATTTGATACGCCATGAGCAGACATGAATGAAAGTGACTGTAGACGAGATGCCAGACCAGGGCCAACCTCATTGTATATCCGTCTGTGGATTTTGTCGAGGACCTTGAGACAAACAGCGGGGGCTCCAGACCAAATATGGCAGCTGATTTGAAGGGTGGACTCAGACGAGAAAAATTTTCTGGCGCAACACAGAGGACCGACTTTCCTCGCGGTAGATGAAGCTCTTGATTCAATGTAGTTGTTCGATCTCAGATCAGCGGACAGTCTGAGACCAAGCAGTCGCAGAGAGGTGCTATCGTGGCGTTGAGAATTAGGCATTCTAATGGGAGAGAGTGTGAATAAAAACGAAAGAAAGAAAAAAAAAAGTATTGGGAAAGAAAGTCAAGAAAAAGTAGATACAGTGTAACCCGGATATAAGAGAGTTGTCGGGACCGGAGAAGAAGTCTCTTATATCCGGGTTTCTCTTATATCCGGGTTTCTCTTATATCCGGGTTTCTCTTATATCCGGGTTTCTCTTATATACGGGTTTCTCTTATATACAGGTTTCTCTTATATACAGGTTTCTCTTATATACAGGTTTCTCTTATATACGGGTCTCTCTTATATACAGGTTTCTCTTATATACAGGTTTGGTCTATTTTGTTTACATTAACACAGGCTCTAATTTGGGGCCAGAGAAAATTTCTCTTTTTTATCCGGGTCTCTCTTTTTTTATCCGGGTCTCTCTTTTTTTATCCGGGTCTCTCTTTTTTTATCCGGGTCTCTCTTTTTTTATCCGGGTCTCTCTTTTTTTATCCGGGTCTCTCTTTTTTTATCCGGGTCTCTCTTTTTTTATCCGGGTCTCTCTTTTTTTATCCGGGTCTCTCTTTTTTTATCCGGGTCTCTCTTTTTTTATCCGGGTCTCTCTTTTTTTATCCGGGTCTCTCTTTTTTCCGGGTTACACTGTATATAAAAAAAAACCAATACGTAAAGAAGGAAAATGAAGTAAATAAATAGATAAATGAAGGAATGAATGAGAATGATACCAAAGGGGAAAAGGAGGGAAAAAGAATAAGATACACAAAAAACACTGGGAAGCCATTAAAATGAAAGGTGGGGGGAAAAATACGAAAAAAGAAAATAATAAAAAAATTAGAATAGCAATTCCCAAACTTATGTCCTTGTGAGATTGGGGTAAAAATAAGTTTCCGTATTCTTTGGTAGAGAAAAAAAAAACCCGATGTTGCTAAAGAAAAAGAAAATATTCTGCTAAATCTCAGTAAATTTTCCTCATGTAAAATTACATGATAAATGTGCTATTACTTCTTACAAACATGGTGGTTTAACAACTTCCGCTAGAACTGTTCCGGTTAAATATGGCGTACTCATACTAACCAAAATCTTTTTTTTTTTATAACTTTTTCTTTATTTATTTACCATTTCTTTTCCTATTATGTTATATATAAGCAAATACATATCCGCATGCAAGAAAGTGAGACTTTGTAGCTATTATTCGACATTGATTGTTGTGATGTACAGCCAGCTAGTGAATGTCGGGGACAGTTTATATCCGAGTCAGTTCTGCAGAAGATAAGTCTTCCGGTTTTTGGCGTGTAGCTAGAATTAGTTGCTCTGATATAATACGCGGGCACAGTGCCACAAATATCGGATACCAATATTTTATCAATTCACCCCAAGCAAAGCAATAATGCCACTAAGATGCAAGGGACTATTGGGAGTGAAAGAGAATGAAAAAGACTTTAGAAGGAACCAGAAACCCAATCCTAAACAGGAAACAAGAGATAAACCTCTACTCCTCTATTCACCCCAAGCAAGGTGATAATGCTACTAAGATGCAAGGGGGCTACTGGGAGTGAAAGAGAATGAAAAAGACTTTAGAAGGAACCAGAAACCCAATCCTAAACAGGAAACAAGGGATAAACCTCTACTCCTCTATTCACCCCAAGCAAGGTGATAATGCCACTAAGATGCAAGGGGCTACTGGGAGATAAAGAGAATGAAAAAAAAGACTTTAGAAGGAACCAGAAACCCAATCCTAAACAAGAAACAAGGGATAAACCTCTACTCCTCTATTCACCCCAAGCAAGGTGATAATGCTACTAAGACGCAAGGGGGATACTGGGAGTGAAAGAGAATGAAAAAAGACTTTAGAAGGAACTGGAACCCAATCCTAAACAGGAAACAAGGATAAAACCTCTTGTTTTTTTTATTCACCCCAAGAAAGGGACAAGGGGAGAAAATGCCACTCCGCCATAAGGGGACTATTTTACTCTGGGAGTTCCTGTTCCTTATTTCCTGTGAATTCTGTTCAAAAAACACTTTTTAAAAAACTTTCAGAAACAATCATTCTAAACAGGTTGAAGAAATAAACCTCTACTCCTCTATTCAACCCCAGTGTTTGGGCTGATTTCTAAATCCACTAAAGATCCTCGGCCTCTTTCGAATGCAAGTTTTCCCTACAACGGCTGTTGCAAGAATGAAAAAACTGACTTTGGAAGGAACCAAAAAATAGCCAATCCGTCGTCAAACAGGTCCCTTTCAAGAGAAAAACCTCTTCATTGCCTCTCATTCAACTAACCAAAGGAATGTTTTGATAATTTAATCTTTTCACCCCAAAGAAGGCAAGGGCTACTGGACGGAAGGAAAGAATTTTGGAATATGAAAAAAAACTTTAAGAAGGAACAAACGCCAATCCTAAACAGGAAACACAGGTATTTAAATTTTCTAGATCCCCCAAGCAAGGTAAGACGCATAGAACTTACGGTTACTGGGACTGAAAGAGAAAGAAAAAGACTTTAGAAGGAACCAGAAACCCAATCCTAAACAGGAAACAAGGAACAAACCTCTTGTTTTTTTATATGGATAACAGAAAAGAAAGGGAACCTTAGCATAGGGAGAAAAACTGACGCTATCACATTTTCTCACTGACCTCCGCCATGTTTTTGCCCGCGACTATTTTATTTCTCTGGTTACTTTTTCCTGTTCCTTATTTCCTGTGAATTCTGTTCAGAGCATCAAACACTCATTTTAAAAACTCTTTCCTGTTTTTCTTTATCATTCTGATGGTGGTTGATGAAATACTGAACGCACACATCATAGCAAAATTGATTCCAATCAACCCCAGTGTTTGGGCTGGAAATTTCTAAATCCTTTCTTAATGTTTCCACAGCTAATCCTCGGCCTCTTTCGAATGATTGTTTCCTCTACAATGGCTGTTGCAAGCAATGCAGTCCATACTGACTGCTGGTGGGATGCGAAAGTGTAATAGCGCCGATGTCTACGTCGTCAACTGTCATCTTGTCCCTTTCTTCCGAAAAAATATCCTCTTCATTGCCGTCTCATGTGTTTAACTAACCAAAGGAATGTTTTTGTTTTTTTATATTTAATCTTTTCACCCCAAAGAAGGCAATAAAGCCACTAGGACGGAAGGAGAACAGAATTTTTGGGAATATGAGAAAAAAAAAGCTACAAGTAAGGAGAGAAGAAAATAAAAGAAACGGGAAATAAGAAGACAGAAGATAATGATCGACATTGCATTTAAATTTTTCTAGATCAAACTTGGCTGGGAAGTAAGAAGTGTGATAGAAGAAAATGTTAGCGTAGAACTTACGGTTACATCTGGCCATTTCAACTGTAAAATGATGAGACCTTGTCGCTAATTTAGTATTGTGTGCTACCAAGGATGTAAAAGAGGATACAGGGTTAGATATCTATATATATATATATATATATATATATAGACACGCGAATAGGGCTAGATAGATAGCTGGATTGGCGGACAAGACAGGAAAGATAGATAAGGCAGGCAGTCAGTCAGTTATGTGCCATGTGTGATACACGCTTAGGCGCTCATGTATTTTCCATACATGACTGACGAGGCAGATTTTTACCGCAGTAGGTTGCCATTTCTTTCTGCAGTAGACCAGTTGCCATCCAGATGGATAGAACCGGACATGTCCTATTACGTACCCATAGCTTGGGGAGGGGGAGATGGATGTATACCTTTCTCAAGCGGTGGATTAGACACACGGACATAGGGAGTGGATAGACAGACATAGGCGGAGATGGATACGTAGACAGACACATAGGCGGAGATGGATACGTAGAGAGACGGACATAGGCGGAGATGGATACGTAGACATAGGCGGAGATGGATACGTAGACATAGGCGGAGATGGATACGTAGACATAGGCGGAGATGGATACGTAGACATAGGCGGAGATGGATACGTAGACATAGGCGGAGATGGATACGTAGACAGACGGACGGAGATGGATACGTAGACAGACGGACATAAACGGAGATGGATACGTAGACGGACATAGGCGGAGATGGATACGTAGACAGACGGACATAGGCGGAGATGGATACGTAGACAGACGGACATAGGCGGAGATGGATACGTAGACAGACGGACATAGGCGGAGATGGATACGTAGACAGACGGACATAGGCGGAGATGGATACGTAGACAGACGGACATAGGCGGAGATGGATACGTAGACGGACAGGCGGAGATGGATACGTAGGCGGAGATGGATACGTGAACGCCAGGCGGAGATGGATACGTAGACATGGGCGGAGATGGATACGTAGACAGACGGACATAGGAGATGGATACGTAGACATAGGCGGAGATGGATACGTAACAGACGGACAGGCGGAGATGGATACGTAGACATACGGACGGAGATGGATACGGACATAGGCGGAGATGGATACGTAGACGGACAGACAGACATAGGCGGAGATGGAACAGTTGCCATCCAAGGCTATAGAATCCGGTCTGTCCTGCTATTTACCTATACAGACGGACATAGGCGGAATTTCATACGGACGCAGGATCTCAACGGACATAGGCATTAGTAGACACGTAAGATGGATATAATGGATTCGACTGAAATTCTACTCATTACTCCACCGTGCCAAGATAGATATGTGAAAAGGGTTGGATTTTGTCATCCACCGACTCGACCCCACCCCATTGGTACGAAAAGGTGGTGATGCCTACATTTTCTGAGGAAGACCTTTTGCCTCATTTAGGAGAGTCAGCTCGTCACATGGCAGGAACGCATTTACAAAACAGTTAAGCTGAAACAAAATCAAAACCCGTAATCGAATTTGCGTAATAAATTCTCGGCGGAGATGGATTTATGGACTTCAGTTGTGGATACGTAGACAGACGGACATAGGCGGAGATGGATATTAACAGACGAACAATAAAAGACGAATAGCTTAAGTGTTCAGTAATAGCGAATAGATTAGGTGTGAACGGGATTGGGGAGAGGACAACGATAGGAAGAGGCTAGGTGAGAGAGGTAGGTACACGAATAGGTTTGGATAGAAAGGTAGTCTAACCTGGATAGCTAGATATAGTCTAACCTGGATAGCTAGATATAGTCTAACCTGGATAGCTAGATATAGTCTAACCTGGATAGCTAGATATAGTCTAACCTGGATAGCTAGATATAGTCTAACCTGGATAGCTAGATATAGTCTAACCTGGATAGCTAGGATATGGATCTAGACCGGGATAGCTAGATATAGTCTAACCTGGATAGCTAGATGGATACGTAGCGAACCTGGATAGACGGACTAGATGGATACGTGAACAGACGAACCTGGATAGGATACGATAGACAGACGCGAACCTGGATACGATAGATAGATGGATACGACAGACATAGGCGAACCTGGATAGATAGATGGATACGTGAGGATAGGATGGATACGTATAGACGGACATACGCGTGATGGATGAGACATAGGTCGTATTTATAGATAGATAGCTAGAATATAATGGATTCGACTGAAATTCTATAGGCCAACCTGGATAGAAAGCTAGATAGATAGACATAGGCGAACCTGGATAGAAAGCTAGATAGATAGACATAGGCGAACCTGGATAGATAGCTAGATAGACATAGGCGGAGATAGCTAGATAGATAGATAGACATAGGCGGAGATAGCTAGATAGATGACAACGATAGGAAGAGGCTAGGCGGAGATAGGTAGCTAGATAGATAGAACCTAGATAGAGGCGGAGATAGATAGCTAGATAGATATAATGGGATGTAGATAGATAGATAGATAGGAGATAGATGGCTAGATAGATAGATAGGCGTAGATAGATAGATAGGCGTAGATAGATAGATAGATAGATAGATAGGCGTAGATAGCTAGATAGATAGACATGAATAGGCGTAACCTGGATAGATAGCTAGATAGATAGATAGACATAGGCGTAGATAGATAGACATAGGCGTAGATAGATAGACATAGGCGTAGATAGATAGACATAGGCGTAGATAGATAGATAGGCGTAGATAGATAGATAGATAGATAGACATAGGCGTAGATAGATAGATAGATAGATAGACATAGGCGTAGATAGAGACATAGATAGATAGACATAGGCGTAGATAGATAGATAGACATAGGCGAACCTAGATAGATAGATAGATAGATAGACATAGGCGTAGATAGATAGATAGATATAGGCGAACCTGAATAGATGGCGATACGCAGTCTTGGCTGAATCGATGGGTATACGAACAGGGCTTGAAAACCGGTTCGGATAGATAGATAGATAGGCAGACAACTGATGTGAACAAGCTTGAACAGAAATTCGGACAGGCCTGCATATAAAACCAGAAAAAGAAATTATAAAAATTGAAAAGGGAAGGGTAAAACTATAAAGAAAAGTAAAAAAAAAAAAAAAAAAAAAAAAGGGGAAATGATGAAAGAAAATCCGAAAGAGAAAAGAGGGAAATTACGACAAAAAAAAAAAAAAAAAATATATAGGGAAAAAAAAAATCAATAAACGAACGAAAAAAAAAAAATAGAATCAGAAAATTTATTCTAATAGACGACGAAGAAAAGTTTTGGTTGGAATAAAATGCTTAATATCAAAGACAGGACATGAAATACGCCGGAAATAATTAAGAAATCAACGTATAGAAAGTAGGAAGAAATATTTGCAGTCGTAGAAGACAATGCAATAAATGGGACCCCCCCCTCAAAAAAAAAAAAAAAGATCTTTGATATAAAAAGGGTTGATTTGGCAATCACAATTCTAGAATCCTAACAAACCGGAAATTTTCTGAGATTTTGCCAAAGAACTGCAATAATTGGGGGACGTGAGAGTTCAACTGAAGTGACCGTGCTGGCAATGATGATTTCACGACACTGTCTGTGGTACGAGAGGCCCTACGTCTTCGTTTCAAACGTGGTTCTTACATTCTCGTGTGCGATATCTGCGAGACTGCCCAACTCCTCTTCGGGGATGTTTATTTGGATAAACGCCTGACTTTTTTTTTTCTTCACATTGACAAAACGGTGATGCAGGTGTGAGGTTACGTGTTTCTCCATTCGGCGGCCAGGAGTGACGCTACGTAACCCCTCCTCCCCCTCCGCTCTGCACACACGGTGCATCTGTCTTGAAAATCTGCAGTGTCTATTTTGACATACTATAAAAGTACCGAATGTACCCATCAATATCGGTGTCCTTGTCGCAAACTCAAAGAAACTTAATAAAAATCTGAGAATCGAAACCATTTCGGCAACAGCCTTCATAAATCAGCTCAAAAATTGTTAGGATGATTTAAATATTTGATGTTAGTTGATCTCGACTAAAAATCACACGTACTACTTGAATGAAATATATATATATATATATATATATAAAAGACATTTTTATGTTTAACGTTGTTTTTTATAGTCTTTTATAAATAAATTTTATGTCTTTAATAAATAAATTGTCGGACTTTGTCCATTTCTTAATATATATATATATATATATATATGTGTGTGTGTGTGAAAAATATATAGAAAATAGGAAATAACTCGTTAGGTAAATAATCCAAAGTTCTTTAGTATTTTTGTTATTATTTAAAAAAAATAGTGGTTGATACAAAAAGTAGAGCATAAATATAATTATTTATTTAAAAATATGATTCCAACACGCTACATAAGAGTTCTCATGTTTCAAAACAAGAGCCGAAAACTTCAATATAATTATTTGAATTAAATTGAATTAAAGCACTAAGCTCTGTTCCATCTTCAAGCGAAATTATTTCTGAAATTTACGCGTTTTATAAGCATATTCATTATTGAAGTCATATATATATATATATATATATATATATATATATATATAGTATCAAATGACAATTGGAAAAAAAAAATCATACATTTTGCCGACGCGTTTCGTCTTCCGACTTTTTCAAGGCAAAAATGAAATCGAAATGTTTTTGTTGTTATAGTTACATTAAAAAATCCAAATTTAAAAAGATAGACACTTCTAAGACTTTTTTTTTTTTTTTGGTTAGTGTAAATTACCTTTTATAGTAAGGGATTATTATTATTTTATTTTTTTTCCATATTGACAATATAGTTAAATTCCCAGATGAATTCTGTGGACAAGACAGTTTGGTATAAAATGACAATGGGGAAAAAAATCATATTTTGCCGACGCGTTTAAATTTGGATTTTTTAATGTAACTATAACAACAAAAACATTTCGATTTCATTTTTACCTTGAAAATGTCGGAAGACGAAACGCGTCGGCAAAATCTAAGATTTTTTTCCAGTTGTTATTTGATACCAATCTGTCTTGTCCACAGATTTCATCTGGGAATTTAACTAATATATATATATATATATACAATTACGTCTTATCAAACTTTTGAATGGCATTTAAAGCCAGGAAATATTTTTAAATTGTCAATCTTTTTTGTTTCTTTTAAAATAATGATTTTACTGACATAAATCGTACTAATTAACCTAATTACTAATTAACTTGGAGGGGAGCAGAGGGGAGAAGCGGTGGATTATCAAAGGGTATTTGGCGCGTAAGTGAATATAACGAACCCAGCTGGAATTGGACTCATGCTCCCCGACTTCCAATTCTGAGCTGTTATCCATTACACCACCCGCACATCCAAGCTTACAGCACCTGGGATTCCCAAGCGGTTATCCATCTATGTATTGACCAGGCTCGACGTTGCTTAACTCCCGGCGAACCATGAGCCTCGGTGGTGGACTTGGGTCTTGGAAGATCTTCGCCGTGCGATACCGTATCATCACCGCACTGGTTATATACATGCCTATGGAGCCCAATATGCTAGGCATCCGTTGACCCCCTACAAGGCGGTTTATCCTCATCAGAAGGAGCCTGGTGGCGGACACCAGTTTAGCCGCCAATAATCCGACTCTGCGTCATGTAGAAATAGGTTATATGGTAGTTGTAGCACTCGGAGAGTGACCCGATATAAAATAATACTAGTCGCCGTCGTTGTATGATAATAGTGGGATGTGTTGTGGACGGTCTTCGTCGTATGGCGTCATCAGGTGTCGTTGCGGACGGTCGTCGTCGTATGGCGTCATCAGGTGTCGTTGTGGACGGTCGTCGTCGTATGGCGTCATCAGGCGTCGTTGCGGACGGTCGTCGTCGTATGGCGTCATCAGGTGTCGTTGTGGACGGTCTTCGTCGTATGGCGTCAACAGGTGTTGCGGACGGTCGTCGTCTGGCGATATCAGGATGTGTTGCGCGTGTGTTGCGGACGGTCTTCGTCGTCTGGCGATATCAGGATGTGTTGCGGGCGGTCTTCGTCGTCTGGCGATATCAGGATGTGTTGCGGACGGTCGTCGTCGTCTGGCGATATCAGGGAAGTGTCGTTGATATCAGGATGTGTTGCGGGCGGTCTTCGTCGTATGGCGTCATCAGGCGTCGTCGTCTGGCGGACGGTCGTCGTCGTCTGGCGATATCAGGAAGTGTTGCGGACGGTCGTCGTCGTCTGGCGATATCAGGAAGTCGTTCATCGTCTGGCGATATCGACGGTCTTCGTCGTCGTCTGGCGATATCAGGATGTGTTGCGGACGGTCGTCGTCGTCTGGCGATATCAGGAAGTGTTGCGGACGGTCGTCGTCGTCTGGCGATATCAGGATCGTCTGGCGATATCAGGAAGTGTTGCGGACGGTCGTCGTCGTCTGGCGATATCAGGATCGTCGTCGTCGTCTGGCGATATCAGGATGTGTTGCGGGCGGTCTTCGTCGTCTGGCGATATCAGGATGTGTTTCGGGCGGTCTTCGTCGTATGGCGATATCAGTATGAAGCGGGCGGTCTTCGTCGTCTGGCGATATCAGGATGTGTTGCGGGCGGTGGTCCTGGCGAAAATATGTTGCGGGCGGTTTTCGTCGTATGGCGATTGGGAGAAGAAAAATTTCAGGACGATTGGGAGAAGAAAAAATTCAAGAAACAATCGGTGGCCATTCCGGCTGAACACAGCTTGAACATTAAGGAAAATGTCTAAGAACGTAGATGACTTGGTGTCACGTGATGTCCACCCCCCCCATATTGCTGCTATGATAATTCAATGAGACAGATATGACAGTAATTATTTCAGTGATATTTACTGTAAATCAAATGACTTCTGCTTTTAGTCAGAACGAACACGGTTACGAAGCCCTGATAGCGGCTAAATATTTGTCAATGGACACAGCAAACCAGACGTTATCTTTTAGAAAAGTAAAAAAAAAAAAAAAAAAAAAAGGAAATGATGAAAGAAAATCCGAAAGAAAAAGAAAATTACGACAAAAAAAAAAAAAAATATATAGGGAAAAAAAAATCAAAATCAATAAACGAAAAAAAAAAAAATAGAATCAGAAAATTTATTCTAATAGACGACGAAGAAAAGTTTGGTTGGAATAAAATGCTTAATATCAAAATACAGGACATGAAATACGCCGGAAATAATTAAGAAATCAACGTATAGAAAGTAGGAAGAAATATTTGCAGTCGTAGAAGACAATGCAATAAATGGACCCCCCCCTCAAAAAAAAAGTCTTTGATATAAAAGGAGTTGATTTGGCAATCACAATTCTAGAATCCTAACAAACCAGAAATTTTCTGAGATTTTGCCAAAGAACTGCAATAAATTGGGGGACGTGAGTTCAACTGGTGTGACCGTGCTGGCAATGATGATTTCACGACTTTGTCTGTGGTACGAGAGGCCCTACGTCTTCGTTTCAAACAATTTCTTACATTCTCGTGTGCGATATCTCTGAGACTGCTAACTCTCTTCAGGGATGTTTATTTGGATAAACGCCTGACTTTTTTTTTCTTCACACTGACAAAACAGTGATGCAGGTGTGAGGTTACGTGTTTCTCCATTCGGCGGCCAGGAGGACGCCAAGTAAACCCCTCCTCCTCCGCTCTGCACACACGGTGCATCTGTCTTAAAATCTGCAGTCTTCTATTTTGACATACCTAAAAAGTACCGAATGTACCCATCAATATCGGTGTCCTTGTCGCAAACTCAAAAAACTTAATAAAAAAATGAGACCGAAACCATTTCAGCAACAGCCTTCAAATCAGCTCAAAATTGTTAGGATGATTTAAATATTTGATGTTAGTTGATCTCGACTAAAAAAACACGTACTACTTGAATGAAATATATATATATATATATATATATAATTACATTTTTATGTTTAACGTTGTTTTTATAGTCTTTTATAAATAAATTTTATGTCTTTAATAAATAAATTGTCGGACTTTGTCCATTTCTTAATATATATATATATATATGTGTGTGTTAATGAAAAAATATATAGAAAAATGGACTCGTTAGGTAAATAATCCAAGTTCTTTATTATTTTGTTATTATTTAAAAAATAGTGCTTGATAAAGTAAATATAAATATAATTATTTATTTAAAATATGATTCAACACGCTACATAAGGAGTCTCATGTTTTTTTTAAAACAAGAGCCGAAAACTTCAATATAATTATTTGAATTAAATTGACTAAAAAGCACTAAATGTTCCATCTTCAAGCAAATTATTTCTGAAATTTTGCGCGTTTTATAAAAGCATATTCATTATTGAAGTCATATATATATATATATATATATATATATATATATATATAGTATCAAGCACAATTGGAAAAAAAAAAAATCATACATTTTGGAAGACGCGTTTTCGTCTTCCAACTTTTTCAAGGCAAAATGAAATCGAAATGTTTTGTTGTTATAGTTACATTAAAAATCCAAATTTAAAAAGATGACACTTCTAAGACTTTTTTTTTTTTTTTTTTTGGTTAGTGTAAATTACCTTTTATAGTAAGGATTATTATTTTTTATTTTTTCCATATTGACAATATTCCAAATTCCCAGATGAATTCTGTGGACAAGACAGTTTTTGTATAAAAAAATGACAATGGGGAAAAAAATCATATTTTTACACGCGTTTAAATTTGATTTTTAATGTAACTATAACAAAAAAACATTTCGATTTCATTTTACCTTGAAAAAGTCCGGAAGACCAAACGCATCGGCAAAATCTAAGATTTTTTTCCAGTTGTTATTTGATACCAATCTGTCTTGTCTGAGATTTCATCTGGGATTTAACAATATATAAATATATTCATATATATATATATAACATTGTGTCTTATCAAACTTTTAAATGGCATTTAAAGCACTTAGGAAAATATTTTTAAATTAGTCAATCTTTTTTGTTTCTAAAATAATGATTTTACATACATAAATCGTACATACAAACCTAAGACAAAATTAACTTGGAGGGAGTCTAGGGAGAAGCGGCTAGATTATCAGACGGTATTTATGCTCAGGCAATATACGAACCCAGTTGAATTGGATCAGCTCCCCGAGCGTGATCAATTCTGAGTTGTTATCCATTACACCACCCGCACATCCGCTTACAGACCTGGGAGATTTAAACCGGTTATCCATGGTATTGACCTGGCTGACGTTGCTTAACCCCGCGAACCATGAGCCTCGGTGGTGGACTTGGGTCTTTAAGATCTTAAGGTGCGATACCGTATCATCACCGAACTGGTGATATACGGAACTATGGAGCCTGGGGTTATTGGGTATTTTATTTAAGACGTATGGGCGGTTTATCCTCATCAGAAAATATGGTGGCGGACACCAGTTTAGCCGCCAATAATCCGACTCTGCGTCATGTAGAAATTGGTTATATGGTAGTTGTAGCACTCGAGTGACCCGATATAAAAATAATACTAGTCGCCGTCGTTATGATAATGGGTGGGATGTGTTGTGGACGGTCTTCGTCGTATGGCGTCATCAGGTGTCGTTGTCTCAGTCGTCGTCGTATGGCGTCATCAGGCGTCGTTGCGGACGTCGTCGTCGTATGGCGTCATCAGGCGTCGTTGCGGACGGTCGTCGTCGTATGGCGTCATCAGGCGTCGGTCGTCGTCGTATGGACGGTCTTTCGTCGTATAGCGATATCAGGATGTCGTTGCGGACGGTCGTCATCGTCTGGCGTATCAGGATGCCAGATAACCTTCGTCGTTGCGGACGGACAGTCTTCGTTCTGCGATATGGTTCATCAGGTGTCGGAAGGATGTGTCGACAGATATCAGGAAGTTCGTCGTCGTATGGCGATATCAGGATGTGTTGCCGGACGATCGTCGTCTGAGTATCAGGAAGTCGGATCGTCGTCTGTGATATCGGAAGATGTTGCGGACGGTCGTCGTCGTCTGGCGGTATCAGCCGTGTTGCGGACGGTCGTCGTCGTCTGGCGATATCAGGATTGTTTGCGGACGGTCGTCGTCGTCTGGCGATATCAGGAGACGGTTGCGGAGTCATCGTCATATCGAGGAAGTGTTGGACGGTCGTCGTCGTCTATCAGGAAAAAGCGGTTGTCGTCGTCGTCTGATATCAGGATGTGTCACCCACAAGGACGGTCGGACGAAGCTCGTCGTATGGCGATATCAGGAAAGTTGCGGACGGTTGTCGTCTGGCGATATCAATGGCCCCTGAATAGGATGTGTGCGGACGGTCGTCGTCATCTGGCGATATCCAGGATGTTGGGCGAAGAAAAATTTAGGAAATCTGGCGATATCAGGATGTGCGGTCTTCGTCGTCGGCGTCTACACAGCTTGAACGATTAGAATAGCGAAAAATGTGAATTTCTTTTCATGACGATTGGGAGTCAAAGGATATCTGGCCATTCGTCCCCATATTGCCGGTCAGATAATGTCAATGAGACAGATATGACAGTAATTAATTCAGTGATATTTACTGTAAATCAAATGACTTCTGCTTTTAGACCCTGGTTAACACGGTTACAAGCCCCATAGCGGCTAAATATTTGTCAATGGACACAGCCGACCAGACGTTATCTTTATCACCATTAAAGCTGGTGGTCGAGAATTCTGCCCATTGTCAGCTAAAGAAAAATGACTCCTCACGTTGCCAACGCATTTTTCTTCTTTTCGTCTCTTTCTGGAATTGGAATTCAAAATCAAGATAGAAAAGAAAACCGAATCGACAATTTTTCGTTTCGGGTCTTAAAGACTGGGCGGGGAGCGATGAAACGCCATGAGTGTAAATTTTGAGGTGTGGCAGGACGAGAGATATAATTTCATGGTTGTGCTTCGGAAACAAGGAGTTGTCCTTTTTCCCAGTATCTTTTTGATGGATATCAGGAAAAATGTCCACTTGGTGGGAGAGCTGACAGCGAACTGACTGGCAGTCGAGTAATTGAGAGATTTCATCAAATTGCTCAACCTTCACATCTTCTGCTTTGACCATAATTCTTGACATTTTGGCAAATTCATTCCTTACTTTTAGAATTCTTAGAAATTTATTTTACTTATTTATTTTATTTTTTTTTTGTCGTTCAGTTGGTCTCTTATCTATCATTCCTCCATTTCAGGATGTTTCTGACTGTCTCAATCAATTCATATCTGCCCCCCCTCTCTCTCTCTGTAACCCTGTCTCTCTCTCTCTGTAACCCTGTCTCTCTCTCTCAGATTGCTCTCTCTCTCTATACCAGTCTCTCTCTCTCTCTATATAACCTTGTCTCTCTCTATATATAACCCTTGTCTCTCTCTATATATATGATTTCATATCTCTCTCTCCTTTCTCTCTCTCTCTCTCTAGCAGTTCTCTCTCTCTTTTCTAAATAAAAACTCTCTCTCTCTAACCTTTCTCTCTCTCTCTCTCTAACCTTTCTCTCTCTCTCTCTAACCTTTCTCTCTCTCTCTCTCTCTCTAACCTTTCTCTCTCTCTCTCTAACCCCTTCTCTCTCTCTTTTAACCTTTCTCTCTCTCTCTAATTTTTAGATTGAAACAGAACTCTCTTTTCTCTCTCTCTCTTTTTTTTTCTCTCTCTGCTCATTTCTCTCTCTCCCCTTTCTCTCTTCCTCAGAATGGTCTCTCTATTTTCTCTCTCTCTGTTTCTCCTCTCTCTCACTTCTCTCTCTCTCTGTTTCTCTCTCTATATCCCTCTCTCTCTCTATCTCCCCAACCTCTGGATTCTCTCTGTTTCTCTCTCTTTTTCTCTCTCTCTGTTTTTCTCTCTCATTTTTTCTTTGGTCTTCCTCCTACTCCCTGAATCTCTCTTTTTCTCTCTTTCTTTCTCTGTTTCTCTCTTTTTTTGTTTTCTCAAACTCACTCCAACCCTAACTCTCTCAGTTTCTCTCTTTTGATTCTTGAAAAGAAGACTGATACTTGAATCTTTAAGTTCAGTTCTCTTTCTCTCTTAACGAATGCTCTTTTACCATTTGCAAAGGTTTTGTATTCATCCCTTGAAAATTCTTGAGCAATTCTCCTGACACTCTCTTCAATTCTTCGTCTTGTCTAAAATGCTGTCTTCTTGCAATCGGCACTGCACATCATTGAAAATACAAGAATAAAATGCGGATAAGAAAAGAAATTGCTGACACGTTAAATAAGAAAAAAATTTTCAAAAAGAATTTTTTCTTTCTTCTTTTCTTCTTCAGACATTTCGACGTCCATTAATCTTAGGGCTTCACCAAATTACTTTTATATATATATATTTTTTTAAATCAAAGACAAATAACATCGTCAGACTCTGAATCCAATGTCATAGATTGATTCGAACAAGTTTAGTTGCTTTTGTGATTTTTGTTATTTCTTTTGTGATTTTTGTTATTTCTTTTTCAATTTTATGTCCTAAAATTTCGACTGATGTGGTCACAAGCTTTTTTTATTTTTTATTTTCACGTCTTTCATCATCAGGCAAAGATGGAGGAGTATTGTTTTCATATCGAAACTGGAGCTGCTCAGTTGTTGCTTTTCATGTCGACCCCGGTCAGTACTGCGATGGGGTTCGGCGTTGGGAACATCGGGTACTGTAAGCGATCTCATACAATCCAAAGTATGTTTCGGTTTTTAATAACCCATGGAGGGTTGATAAGCCGTTAAAAAAAAAAATTAATCAACTCCACATTCCAAACTGGATAGTTTGGAATCGTTTATGCGGACTTATTCTCGATTCTGCAGAATTTCTGCCACAGACGCGAGGTGTCAGCCTATCTGTCGCTATTTCCATGCCAAATGTTCAGATGGGCCCCATTCTTTGCTGTTATATCACAACTTGGTCGACGAATTCTATCGCTCCAAAAAATACCAGATTCCTCTCTCTTTCTCTCCTCCTCTGGCCTCTTTCTCTCCTCCTCTGGCCTCTTTCTCTCCTCCTCTGGCCTCTTTCTCTCCTCCTCCCTTTCCCCTCCTCTCAGCCCTCTCTCCTCTTTCCCCCTTCTCTCCTCCTCCTCCTTTCCCCTCCCCAACTCCTCCTCCCCAGCCCCCTCCCCTTTCGCTCTCCTCCTTTCCCCTTCCTTTCCAGCTCCCTTTCGCCTTTTCCTTTTCGCTCCTCCTCCCTTTTCCCCTTTCAGTCTTCTTCCTTTCCCTCCTTTTTCCTCCTTTCGCTTTCTTTCCCTTTCCTTTCTTTTCCCTTTCGCTCTCTTTCCTTTCCTTTCTTTCACTTCGCTCTCTTTTTTTTCGCTCTCTTTCCCTTTCGCTCTCTTTCCCTTTCGCTCTCTTTCCCTTTCGCTCTCTTTCCCTTTCGCTCTCTTTCCCTTTCGCTCTCTTTCCCTTTCGCTCTCTTTCCCTTTCGCTCTCTTTCCCTTTCGCTCTCTTTCTTTCCCTTTCGCTCTCTTTCCCTTTCGCTCTTCGGTATTCCTTGATCGAGCAACCGGTACTGAAAGAGAAAACTCGTACTTTGCAAACTATACTGGTTACTTAATATTATTAGGGGATAAAAAGAAGAAACGGCAAGATTTTGTTATGACGATAAACTAAATCTAGCAGCAAGTCTTCTGATCGGGAGATTGTTGCTGCTGTTTCACCAAGATCCTGCTTGCATCAATCAGGGTCCCTCTATGGACAACATAAAAAAAAAAAAAACTGAAAAATATAAAAATATTTCAGCAATACAAAAATCAACCAACTAACTGGAAAAGAATATTCTGTGACATTAGCCCACATAATATCCTAAAATTTCATTAAGAAATCGAACTGCATCTGTCTATATTTCTGAGATTAGATATTATGTACACTATTTACATTATTCGGACTATTGTCCTCATCTTTTTTGTTACCATTTTATCTAACGTTTCGACCGTTTGTACGCCCGGTGTCTTCAGGTGGTATGTCGAACTGGAACCTTTTATTTCGCTCGATGGGGTGAACTGTTCTAGTTCCACGTGCTATGTCTAATGAATGTTAGTTATGAGTTATCTCCTGTTAATTCCCATCTCCAAGTTCGCCACTGCCTTAACCAGGCGTTGGTTAGGTCCAGTGACAGGCCCCAGAGAGTTGCGAGTTCAATACCCGGTGAAGGCAGGGAGAACTTGGAGGGAATTACCAGGAGATAACTGATAAATGACATCCATTAGGCATGGTGCGTGAACTGTAAAGAGTCTACCCCATCGAGCGAAATAAAGGTCCAGTTCGACATTCCAACCACCTGAAGGAGGCCGGATGGTACAACGGTCGAAACGTTGTGAGTAATATGGCAACAAAGAGGAGGACAATAGCCTGAATAATGTAAATCGAATTGCATTTCAAAATATGACTTCAACAAAACTAGAACATAAAACGCACATGACACCGCTTCTATTAAATTCACGCACAAAATCAGAGTATTATTTACCATGTATTCAATTGTGAAAGCAAAATAACCTATATAATATTTTTGTTAATTCAAAGCTCCCAAGAAACTTATTTCTGTATTAATGACCCACAAAGGAGTAATCGAAACAAGAAATGACGACGATACTAGCCCGAATTTTCCAAGGACCGTGAGGGCTGGAGAATGCATCGGCAGTAATCAAAACAAAGATGACGATGCTAGTCCGAATCTTTCAAGGACTGAGAAGGTTGAACAAAGTATCAGCTGTACTAGTCCTAACCTTCCAAGGACCGTGGAGGCTAGAGAATGCATCGGTTTTAATGTATGCCGTTAAACAGATGAATCAACCATAGGCATGACAGTAAAGGAAGAAATGGCTAACAATTAATGGTATAACAGAAATACGGGTTAACAAGAAAACAAGCCCAACACGCGAGCTACGAACTATGGTTCCATGAAAGGATTCTTAGACTACCATGGACAAGGCATATAGCAACGGGAAAGGTTTCAAGGAAAGTGGGCTTGGAGAATTTGACACTCACAGGACAGATGGAAGACTACCGAACCAGCTTGTGCAAATGGTTAACAGAATAGACTCCGGTAGTAGTAATAAGGAGACGGATGTTGCTTAGAGTTACAAAGAGTAGGAACTTGTAGAGAGCCATGATCGGTATCTAAGATAAGTAGGAATTACCAAAGAGCTTCGTATAGAAAACAAGTCAGGATTAAGATGAGGTGCATTAACAATTTCGCGTGATTTCTTTAAACCGTAGCTGTTTCTAGTTATATAATGAGATAATTGCCTGTAGCCATGATTTTTTTTTCTGTATTCCTGGGATCTGCATAACTCGTGTTAATATATTTTAACAGAAAGCGATTTCGATTTAAACAAGACATAATTTGTGTGCGTGACTTAATTCTAATGAATCATAAATTAGAAAGCCCGCATCCTTTCTCTAAAAATTGCCATTAATCGCGTATCGAAATACGATGTCATTCCGGAAATAATCCAACCACTTATAATTACTAACGATAAAAACAGCCTACCGAGGGCAATGGCACTTTAGTCCTATTAAAGTACCATCCTTAGGACCTCACACACGTATATCTCAATGTCCTTTCTAGTTTTCAAAACAGTCCGCATTGTCTCCACTCGGACTGTGAAATAGTAATCAATACAGTAAAGATGAAGATACTAGTCTGAATCTTCCAAGGAGCGTGAGGGCTGAAGAATGCATCGGCAGTAAAGCAGTAATCAGAACAAAGATAACGATACTCGTCCAAATCTTCCCAGTCTTTGAAAAGCAGGAGGATGCATCGGCTGTAAAGTAGCAATCGAAACAACAAAGATGACGATACTCGTCCGAATCTTCCAAGTCTTTGAAAAGGCAGGAGGGTGCATCGGCTGTAAAGTAGCAATCGAAACAACACTAGTCCGTATCTTCCAAGGAGCGTGAGGGCTGGAGAATGCATCGGCAGTAACGCAGTAATCAAAACAAAGATAACGATACTAGTCCAAATCTTTCAAGGACTGAGAATTTTAAACAAAGTATCAGCTATAAAGTGGTAATCAAAACAATAAAATGGCGATACTAGTCCTAATCTTCCAAGGACCGTAAAGGCTGGAGAATACATCGGTTGTGAAGTAGTAATCGAAACAAGAAAGATGGCGGTACTATTCCGAAAAAATCGTTGACTAGCGACAATGAATTCATCTGATAACGTTAGTTCACACTCAGAAGGCCGAAGAATGCGCCGGCTGAAATGTGGTATTCGCAAAAAGCAATGTTGAATCTAACAGGATGAAATAGCAGGTGAAGAAATTTGGTTCTCTGTGTCAGAAAGTTTTTTCTCGCAGGAGTCCATCTTTCAAATCTATAAATCAACCATTCGCCCTTGCATAGAATATTGGTGCCATATTTGGTCTTGGAGCCACTGCTGTCCATCTTAAGGTCCTCGACAAAATCCAGAGACGGATATGCAATATGATTGGCCCTGATCTGGCATCTCGTCTATGGTCGCTCTCTCACAGACGCGCCGTGGCCTCCCTCGGTCTTTTCTACAAATACTTTCACGGTAACTGCTTCGACGAGCTACTTTCGCTAGTTCCCAGACGGCGTGGATTTAAGCGTGCTTACTAGGCTGGCATCTCGATCCCAACTTTTCACTGTCGAAATGGTTAAATGTAGCCGTCTCTTCTACTCCAATAGCTTCATGCTTCGCACCTCCCGTCTGTGGAACTCACTTCTTCTTACTTGTTTCCCTGATAGCTAAAATGTCCAGTTATTCAAATGCAATGTCAATTGACATCTCCAGATGCCTAGATCTATTCCCTGTCCTTCTCGTCATCCTTTCCTCTGTTACGCCTCTTTACTCTTGCTCCCACTTTCTGTAACCCCTTGCGTGTTTGTGGTACCCCGACTTGATTGGGGTGAAATGCTTAAAAAGAAAAAGAAAAAAACAAAACAAAAAAACAGTTTGAACCCTCGAGCAGAGATTCTTTACGTAGTTTCTGTTTACCCAGACACAAACAGTAATCGAAAGACATCCTGGATTAAAGCCGACTAGTCGTCGAGGACAATGTGACCAAAATGTCCTCTCTTTTCGATATACTGGAATCATTTAGCACTGTCTGGCGGGGTAGGTAAAAAACACTTTCGACATCTTTGCTCCTACTTCTGCCTTCCCAAGATAGACTAATGGACCAGATCTTCCTTTTGGCCCGCTCCGAATCTCTCTCTCTCTCATACTCTAACTGACATTCTCTCGTCATTCTAATTGCTGGTGAGTGTAAACTTCCTGGGGTAAACTAGCGGGGCTACCGGCAGTGTAAATCGAGGCTAGGGCAGTGTAGCTTCCGGGAGCTGGCAGCAGTGTAATTCCGGGTAGCCGGCAGTGTAAACTTCCGGGGCTAGCTATGAGTGTAAACTTCCCGGGGCTAGCCGGCGAGTGTAAACTTCCCGGGGCTAGCCGGCGAGTGTAAACTTCCCAAATAGCTCATGTTGGTCCTCACCTAGAATACAACCTGACTGTATCAGTCCACAGCCGGAATTACCAAACCTGGATAAGTTTTTTTTTCCTTGCGCATGGACAGTGGAGCAGGTCAGTTTGACAATCGTGTGTTATTCCATTCAATTTGAAAATTGAGGTTTGACATGATAAACAAACAAAATAAATATTTCTTTTCAAATCGTTATCGTTTTTTTTTTTTTTTTTTTTTTTTTTTTGAGGAGATGAATTTAAAGATTAAGTTTAGGTTAAAAATCGTAGCGTTGTAATTTCATTCCCGTGGTCAGTCAAAGCCTTAGAGCACAGTCTTATAAACTTTATAATTTACTGAAGCTTCCCAAATTATACATGGACAAGATTCATAGCACAAGCACATTATTACTAAATCATTGTCCTCTCAAATAAGACCTTCAGGTACTTTAAAGAAAAACGATACTGGACAGTTTAGCTATATTATGATGTAATATGTTATTGAGTAAGGAAGTTTTAGTGTGATTTTTCAATAAGCAATTCGAATTTAAAACGTTTTCTCTTATGTGACCAGCAGTATTATAGTGTTATATACACTTTTGTCTATTTTTGCATATATTATGATGTAACAAATGGTGTAAGATCTTATTTATTGAGTAATGTTGTTTTTTTTGTAATCTTTTTAGATTATTTCTTTTTGTAATCTTTTTAGATTATTTCTTTTTGTAATCTTTTTAGATTTTTTTTTTTTTACAGTTTTTACATATCGAATCGAGTAAAGTTTCGTATTTTGCTTGTAGTGATTCATAATTAGAATTCTGGTTTGAATATATTTTCTATTCAATGTATCTGACGCAAAAGCTATCAACTTTTTTTTTTTTTTTGATTTATTCTTGAAATAGTAAAATTTTGAAGTCATCTTATAAGCAAAAAGCCTGTTCATTTTTCAGATGCCTAAAAGGACATGCGCAAAATTGGTAAAAGCAACGGATCTAATGTTTGTTGTCAATACTTATCACATCAAACCTCATTGTTTACACTGACAATTCTCGGCCACATTCTGCCAGGTTGACACTACATCGAGATAGGACATTTACAATATTCCCCTGATCTCTTACCAACACTTTCAAACA